CAAGGCGACCAGTCGGTGAGTATTCCATGACCATCTCTGTCTGTCTCTCACGCTATTTCCTCATCCTGTATATATGTTTTATCACTCATTTTTAACCACATCTAAGCTTAAGCTAAACTAGTTCGTAATATATGTATGTGTTTGTCCAATAAATATAATTTATAATGCCGAAAGGTTGGGTGCCATATAATGGGGTTTTACATATAAAATATGTAGGTACATTCTTGAAAAATTTGTTAGGAATTATCCACAGATTCTAGGCAGATTCATATTATTTCAATAAAGTTTGAAAATGGCTAGCTTTTAAAAAAATAAAATAATATAAAAAAAAAAACAAAAAACACAAAGGAAAATGTAACAGCATATAAATGCAGCATTTTTTGTACAATGCTATTTTATTTTTATATTTTAAAATTTTTAAACTAACTCTAGCTTAAGATCTTATGGTCCTTGCTTTTAGGGCCATCGAACCCTTTGATTTGTTGATACAACATTGTTATAAAATCCGTCATCCGTCATCGGTTAATATATTTTAAGCGAGAATAGGTTTTTTTCTTAAGTTTATGCAGTAATAAATTAGGTAAATTGAGAATGCGTCAATATAGGATTTAGTATTTTTTTTCTTGCTCTCTCTAGTTCTTAAGATTAATATAAATATTTTGTTAACATTCAGTAATGGTATATAGGATCATTATCTTGGGGTTTATTTACGATACAAATATATAGAAAGTAAACCTTAACAAAATATTAGATAAAATACTGGCCCAAGTGTAGAAAAACGCAATTAAAAATTCTACAAAGATATGAACTTTAGGAAAGACGAAGCAGAAGCATTTCTTGTATTTGAAAAATTTTTAATTAGCTTAGTATTTCCTTAAAAATGTCTCAAAATGGATATTTCCGAAATAAGTATTATATTTTATATTCTTGATCCGCATCAAGAGACGAGTCTGTGTGCTCTATATCTTATTGTCTGAGAGATCGAGTTGTGGCTGTAGATAGATTTCTGTGCCCAGATCCACGTTAAAAATGGATCCTTCCGACCTTCAAATAGGCGAATTTCAATACTCCAAAAATCTGTATAAATATAGCCTATAGTTCTGCACAGTACATGCAAATGCACTTGATATATTTTCTACGGTCTATGTGGATTTTCAAATGATCTAAAAATGTTTTTAAATGTTCTCTGAAAACAGGAACAACCTCACCACTTCGGAAACATCCATCTTTAGTACGACACCGTTTGACAGCACATCGTCGGGTGGGTCGCCCACAAACAGTGGATCATCATCTGCTGCGCAACCGGGGCCGTCCGGACCGGCACCAATCAGCAAACCCAAGCGGTCGCAGAGCCCCCAGCAGGCGCAGTCGGAGGGAGAGATAGCCGATTGCGAAACCTCATCGACGGCATCCAACAAGAGCTTCGATACGCACAGCGTGGTGTCCAACAGCAAGGCTTCGTGCCGCAGCCACGAGAAGTGCAGCAGTCCCAATGTACTGAAGGAGGAACTGAAGCGCCTCAAGTTCTTTGAGCTGTCGCTGAAGGAGCAGATCAAGGATTTGAGCCTGCAACGTGACGGTTTGGTCATGGAACTGCAACAGTTGCAGGAGGCGAGACCTGTGCTCGAGAAGGCCTATGCGGTGAGCCATTGGAGCGGGGTAACCAAAGGATAAACTTGATGATTAAACGTTCAATTTATTACAGCGAACCACGCATCCAACGCTTCAGCAGCGACTGAACCAACTGGAGCTGCGAAATCGCCATCTGCAAAATGTGATCAAGCAGCAGCAGCAATACACCGAGTCCCTGATGCAGCGTGAGTGGATCAGCTGGTATGGCAATAGAAAATACACAATTCTTATTGGGGTTTGTTCTTTCAGAATCCTGGCGTCAGCATCAAGTGGAGCTCAACGATTTGCATGGCCGCATCGAGGCGCAGGGCGTTATGCTGGCCGATCAGACGCAACGTCTGCAGAATGCCGACATTCTTGTCAAGGATCTGTATGTGGAGAATTCGCATCTGACCGCCACCGTGCAGCGCTTGGAGCAGCAGCGTGCGCGCGTGAACCTAATACACCAACAGCAGCAGCAGCAGCAACAGCAGCAGCAGCAGCGTCTAGTTGGTGCCGCCCTCGGCGGATTGCCAGGCATGCCTTAGTCGACACAAGAAGACAACCAATCAACCAATCAATAGAGAGACATCGAACTTGAACTCATGCACTCCGTATGCAGCGTATCGTTATGAATGTTATATATATATAGACTTAATTTAGTATCTGTTTTTTCGTGCTGCATTGTCGTTTGTAAATGAATGTTGTTTGACACGAAAGAGGCACAGCACATCGACAAAAACAAAAACAATAACTCTAAACAAGTAACTAAAAAACTCACCCACGCGCAAAGAGGAACAATCTCCACACACTAATGTACCAATTTGTAACACAATAATCGACATACACTAAACGGAGAAACTATTTACGTGCGCGCGCGTATTCGTTTAATATACAATATATAGATATCGCTATATATTCTACTGCAATGTTGACCTTAATAATTGACTACGCAAAAATAGTTAACGTCTATTAACTTATAATTATATTAGAAGAAAGAACAAAAGAACAGTATTTTAAATTTGTTATTCGTCTGAGAGAGAGTAGGCAAGCCACGTTTATCAAATGTTTATCACGTGCCCAATCCAAATGCATCGGAATTGTTGTTAATTTTATTGGTAGAACAAACAAACAAACAAACAAAATGATCTATGATATTGATATAATATGTAACGAAAAAAGACCTGTACATCTGTAATCCATACCACACCTTATCTTATACACAATTGAATGTATTTTGTATTTATGCGATTTAAGTTAGCCAATACTCTTCGATTGCTTTTGCGAACGCGAACATTTTGTTAAACATTTTTCAATCGCACCCGCGGTTTATCTGTAGGGGAATGCAATATCCCCCTGATCTAACTATGTAATACATATTTCGATTCAACACATTAGTAAATATTATGTATGCATGGCATGTGTGGTCAACGCTGCTTAACCCAATACTTTCGATCAAAATAGAAATTTACTTTTTAAAAGTATCAACAAAAAATATCAAAAAATATAAAACCAAATATAAAATTATTTAAAAAACCTATTAAGATTGAGTTTTTATAAAATAATAAGCTTCCAGTTCCCTTGATGGTACATTTATGATTTACAAATTTAAATTTAAATTCGAAAATAATGGAGTATTCTTGCTGCTAATCTACACAGGATCCGAGTGGCCTTCCAATATCCATGTATACTAGCGTTAATTCGTCAAATGTTTCGAATGCGGTTTAGCTGTACAAATTTAAGCAGATGGATTGTACGCTGCCTTCGCTGAAAAATAAAAACCTTAAAATTTAGTTAAATTTACGGGGTGTTTGTCACATAATTTAATTTCAATTTTAAAGCAAAAAGCTTGATGCTAAGATATTTTAAAAAACAAACGCAGGTTACCGCCGAATTCGTTACGCACATGCATCATCGATAGGTAGAATCAAAAGTCGCGGTTCTATCTGATAAACAACAGAAAAATAGTAACATCAATAAAAGCAAGTATTTAAAATAAACCAGTCAATTAGAAAATAGGTTCATTAATTGAATAAAATTATGTGGGCAGGGCTGAGAGATCTATCCAGCTAGTAATATTCGACGGAATATCAAAAACGAGGAATATGTATTATAGAGTATGAATTCGTCAGTATATTTACGGTATATTTTGAAAATGAGACGATATATTTTAGTATATTTCTGAGGGTTGGACGGTATATTTTATTGACAAGTCGGTCACATTGGTCACATATAACAATAGTAAATAATGTGCTGTTTTTCGTTTGTTTCTTGTGTATTTGTGGTTTTTGTGCATCTAATAAGTGGTGAGTCCCAAGTTGAAGACCATATAAGTGAAAGTAGTAATATTAAAGAACACCATGAGGCGGGAAAGCCCAGGGACGACATGTTTTTCATGGCTTGTTTGTTTGGCCATGTGTGTGTGCGTGCTATTGTGTGTGTATGCGGTTTGTTTTGTTATTCGATCCGTAAAATGGCATTAAGTTAATTAAATTAATGATTTGTGAAGGCACTCTGAGGCATAGACTGGCCAACCACAAAGAAATTGCAATAATTTGCTGCCAGAAAAGTTGCAGCACTTGCATGGCCTCACCATTAATGTTGTAATGGATACCAGGATACCGAAAATCATCCTAAGATTGACTGTAACTATATGTTTTATGTGTTTAAGGGTATGCATTATGTTGCTAAATGCAATTATTTCATTGCACTTGATCAAAATTTGTTTGAAAACCATAGCTGCCATTTTGGACCGCGTTTTTTTCTCGTCCACCTGACAGCAACAGGCATTCCTGTAAAGTTCTGATTGGAAAATGGCATTCCAACAAGCCTTGATACTAAATTCCAACTATACCATTATTGCCATTTATTATTATATATTTATATGGTCCTTCACATTTATTGATATCTATTCATAATTCAATTGTTTAAGCATCAATATATTTCCTGATAATTATTTACTTTCCGTCCGCATGTATCGTGTATTCCAAAGAACCTACATCTACATTCTACATGCACTCTTATATTTTACATGCATTTTCTAGAATGTTTGAACAGAACTTTATTTGGAAATGGCTATTCCCAAATATGTCCATTCTACAATATATAGATCTACGTATATATATTTCTGATCTGCGTAAGGAAACAATCGAATTATTTTATTTTTAAATAGCAGTTTAACAAATGTGTCGTCAGGTGTCGCCACAGAGCCATGTCGTTCGCGTCTATATCTTTTATGTAAAATACCGTGCAACTATTTTGTATCGTTCGTTTGGCTCGAATATTTAATGTCTCTTTTGTCTGGGCGAGAAAATCTCCTTATCTCCTTGATAGGTGGGGACTATTTAGCAAAATATCATAAGAAAATGGGCATTAATGAATTCAAAATGTGGTTTTGTATGTAAGAGTATAATTCTTTCCCCTGATCGATTCTATGGGATATTCACAACAACATTTCATCCCACCCGTTGTACCAATTTCACTTTCACCTTCTGCTGTGTCCTTAACACTATGCCATTCTCGATTGTGAGATCCTCGAATCGTGTGACTGGCAGAATCTTAAAGTTCCTTAAAACAGCGGCCAGGAGTACTTTGATCTCCAAAATGGCAAACTTCTGTCCAATGCAGTTCCTCTGTCCGGCACTGAAGGGCACAAAGGCAAAGGGATGACGATCCACTGTGTTTTCGGGTAGGAATCGTTCTGGTTGGAACGCATTTGGGTTCGGAAAGTGACGCGGATCCCTCATGATGTCGTATATGTGGATGTTGATATGGGTATCCCTCGGCATTACCAGTCCATTCACGACACACTCCTCCGTACATTGACGACCAATGAAGGGAACCGAAGGGAACATGCGCAGGGATTCCTTGATCACGCACTCGAGGAATACCAGTTCATTGAACTGAAACACACTGATGGAGTCCGTGTCCTCGGGGAGTGCTGACACCTCCTCCAGACACCTCTCCTGAACATCTTCGTGGAGGGCCAGCATCAGGAGAGTGAAGATGAGGCACGTGGAGGTGGTGTCGTAGCCCTCGAACATGAAGGTGTTCACCTCATCGCAGATGCCCTGATGATCGATCTGGCCATCCGCCTCAGCCGCCAGGAGGGTGTCCAGCATGGCGTACCGCTGCTTCTTCCCAAAATCATCCACGCCTCCGAGTTCCTTGCGCTTGAAATCTCTCCGTCTACGCTCGATGATGCTGCTCGAGAAGTCGTGGGCTATCTTAAGACTATCTATGTGCTTCCGATAGTCGCCGTAAAGATAGAAGTACAAACTGTTGTACAGAAAAGGGTTGCAAATGCGTTGCAGGATGACTGCTTCGATGGCGTGGATCGATTCGCGGTATTGGAAACCCTCAGCCATATCATCCAGCTTGACGCCTAGGGCCGTCTCTATAATAGGAATATATTAAAACTATAAATAATTTAAAGAAATTATAGATACTAATAAAGTCAGAAAATAATGATCTGCTTATTATACTGCCTCTTATCACCCGACAAACTACACTTTGCTTGATTTGAACTTGGACTCTGGGGAGCAATTTCCATCTTGAAATTGAGCAGTCATGGTGATATATTATTTTATGGGGGTTCAAAGTTATTGTACTACAGTACGTTCGTGGATGCTGCATACAACATACACCCATGAAATTTTCCGTGTATACAGCATTTGTTTCATTCGTGGCGAATGGTCTCTGCTTGTGACATTCAAATCGAAGGTGTCCGTTCGCTTAGGGGAATTATCAAAACCCGAACGTATAAGAACTGTTTCTTCTGTTCCACTCGAATTTTCCATTTGCTTTTCTGGACTTACCGCAAATATTATTCAAAGTAAACTGCGGAATGACCTGATTCAGTACCAGCGCCTCGCTTTCCACACTCTCATGCAGCACTTTGACCAGCTTGTGGCACTCTTCCCTGCAATAGCCCTACGTTAAAAACGAACACCTCTCTCGCAGAATCAATCACTCACTTGAAAATGGCCAGAAAGGACTGTAGAACATTGAAATGAAAGGCTGGAGTCAAAGCCTTGCGCCTGGCGTGCCATTTTTGATCTGAAAGAAAAAAAGGCGATTTAATGAATGGTATAAAGAACAAAGACTGAAGAAGCATCACACACCTGTGCTGGTGAGCAGACCCTCGCCAAGGAACGGTCTTAGCAGATCATAAACAACGTTCTTTGTCAATAGCTTGGTGCTCTGGAATATCTCCTCGGCCTCCTCGGCTCGAATGACATTGTACATGGGCGAACCAAAGAAGTACCACAGATAGTTCCGTCCCCGGGCATTGGCACACGAGTCGCGCATAAAATTAAAGACGGTGGCTGAAAATATCAGCTTCGCTGTCAGAGATGTCTCACGATTGGATGCTGTCCGTCCCACTTACACGGCGTAAAGTTGAGCAGATCAAAGTTGTTGCCGAACCGAGTCCGGCCCGGCATGACGGCTATCTTACTCTCCAGAGGACTGCCATCCTCGGCTTGCAATCGTTTGCATAGGCTCAGGACGAAGTACTTTCGGTTGAGACGCCGCAGCAGGACACAGCAAAGGAGCACGATCAGCGGTACACCGAGTAGAAGTTCAAACATTATTTTCGCTTTCACAGACCATGGGAGAGACTTGAGGCTCCCTCACAGATTAAGCTCTAATCTACAAATGGCTGTCGTCGATGGACGAATGTGTTTGCGAAATAAAAATAGAACATATACCTAGTATATAACATGTTTAAGTACGCCATGATCTAAACGATCTAGAAGGGTAGATCGGCTTCAATCATTTCTATGGCACATTCAATTATAAATATTTATAATTGTTGCGTGAAACATGCAGTCCACGTTTTCCAAATAGTTTTGTAGGGATCGCGTAGAAAACTCCTCATAAGCAGCAATTTTAATTTATATTTTTTGGTGTAGGAAATTCATGTTGGGTTTTTCATGAACGTTTTGAAGAAAAATCATGCTGAGATCTTAGTGGTCCCTGCTATCTAAAGAAATTTGATGTTTTAGGGGCATTCGAAATTTAGATTAAGTTATATTTTAAAGCATTTGTTACATACATACATCACCAGTAATTCCGAATTGATAATCAGTTAAACGAAGAGCCAACAACCAGTACTGGTACTCCCAACATTCTTTGGTTTATTTTTGAGAGGTATAAAATAGTCTAGACATTAAAAGGGAATATAAATAGTAGATGTTAGCACTGTAACACTTCTGTTTAAAAGGTTTTGAATGAAGTTTGAATAAGAAAAAATGTACTCTAATTATAATTCATTTATAATTAGTTTTTGGTACTATCTTTGGCAATGAAGTTTTCGCAATTCTCCTCTACCTTCGCACCAACTTAACCTTTACATTCTGCTGTGTCCTCATCACAATGCCATTCTCAAAGGTTAGATCCTCCAATCGAGTGACTGGCAGAATCCTAAAGTTCCTCAAAACAGCAGCCAGGAGTACTTTGATCTCCAGAATGGCAAACTTCTGTCCAATGCAGTTCCTCTGTCCGGCACTGAAGGGCACAAAGGCAAAGGGATGACGATCGACTGTGTTTTCGGGTAGGAATCGTTCTGGTTGGAACGCATTCGGGTTCGGAAAGTGACGCGGATCCCTCATGATGTCATAGATGTGGATACTGATTTGCGTGTCCTTCGGCAAGATGAGGCCATTCACAACACACTCCTCCACACATGTACGACCAATGAAGGGAACCGAAGGAAACATGCGCAGGGATTCCTTGATCACGCACTCGAGGAATACCAGTTCATTGAACTGAAACACACTGATGGAGTCCGTGTCCTCGGGGAGTGCTGAAACCTCCTCCAGACACCTCTCTTGAACATCTTTGTGGAGAGACAGCATCAGGAGAGTGAAGATGAGGCACGTGGAGGTGGTGTCGTAGCCCTCGAACATGAAGGTGTTCACCTCATCACAGATGCCCTGATGATCGATCTGGCCATCCGCCTCAGCCGCCAGGAGGGTGTCCAGCATGGCGTACCGCTGCTTCTTCCCAAAATCATCCACGACTCCGAGCTGCTTCCGCTTGAACTGCTGTCGCTTGCGCTCGATGATGCGACTGGAGAAGTCGTGGACTATTCGCAGGTTCTGTACCTGCTTCCGGTAGTCGCCGATCAAGAAAAAGTACCAGTTGTAGAACATGAGCGGATTGCAGACGCGTTGAATCAGGACTTCTTCAATGGCATGGATGGCTCTTCGGTATTGATTGCCCTCCGACATGTCATCCAGCTTGACGCCCAGAGCGGTTTCTAAAACGAGAAAAATAATTATATTGTATTTAAAGAACAAAGGTTCGCTTTGGTTCGTTTGAACTTTGCAACAATAAATAGCTGCAATTAGACAACGACCTACCGCAAATATTATTTAAAGTAAACTGCGGAATGACCTGGTTAAGATCCAGTTCCCCGTCAACTTTTTTGTCTAGCACTTTGATCAACTTGTTACATTCCTCTCTGTAATACATCGAAGATTAGACACCATATAGAAGTCTCGACTGATTAAGAACTCACTTGAAGATGGCCAGAAATGATTGCAGAACATTGAAATGAAAGGCGGGAGTCAATGCCTTGCGTCTGGAGTGCCATTTCTGATCTGTTGAAGATATCAAAAATGGGTAAAAATAGGAACTTTTCCGATACTATTCCACCACAAACCTGTGCTTATTAGAAGACCCTCTCCCAGGAAGGGTCTTAACAGTTCGTAGATCACATTCTTTGTTATCAGTTTGGTGCTCTGGAATATCTCCTCGGCCTCCTCGGCTCTAATAACATTGTACATCGGGGCAAACAGAAAGTACCACAAAAAGTTCCTGCCCTGAGCTTTGGCCGCGGAGTCTCGCAAAAAATTGAACAAACTGGCTGCAAGGAGGGTCCATTAGGTATCGCCTTATACAGCGGATATCATAGAAACTATATCTAATTACAGGGTGTACAGTTGAGAACGTCCAGATTGTTGCCGAAACGCGTTGTGCCCGGCATTACGGCCACCTTGCTCTCCAGCGGACTGCCATCCTCGGTGCGCACTCGCCTGGTCAGCGAGAGGATAAAGTACGTCCGATTGAGCCGTTTGAGGAGCAGCCACACCCCCAACAGCAAGAGAGGAGTACCCAGCAAAGCGATCAACATGTTTCCGCTATAGTATATTCCCCGCCGATCCGATTCACGGCGCTTTTCACAGCCCACTGGGCCCTAGAATATTGTAGCTTTCAGATCCAGTCGCATGCTGATAGTCGCAATCAACAATTTTTTGTATACCTAGTATATTGCTTATATTATCAGCCTGTTGTATGGGTAATTTAATGCTCATGTATATTATGATTACTATAGGATTTGCATTTTATAAAAGTCTATTGGATGTTCTGAAGGTTCATTCCTTCCTACACCAAAGTCTGTTTGGTATTATTTCGAAACTTTTCAAGACTATTTACGAGGTGTAAAGCAGTCGATCATTGCAGTTATTATCTGTAGCGTTTAATCTTTTTATATACTAATCTGAAATTATACGCGATTAAAAACGCGGCAAAGTTCAGTAAAATGTAGTAAATAAATACATATGTATTTAGTCTTTTTTAGGAAGGTAGCTGCTTAGCAAATACTCTTCATTCAGCATAATATATATATAGGACATTGAACCTCAGTCACCTGAAACTTCCCGACTTCTTCAGTCAAATTTAGGCTCTGGAAGGAGTACAATTAGATCAATTGGTATAGGGTAGCACTGTAAAAGTTTCCTATACAAAATAATGTTTTAAGCGGAGATTGAATCGATGAGCATCGTCCCACGCACGATCACTCACACGCATGTATTTTGTTTCTGGATTTTCGGGCATTCTCTTTTGCACATTTCGCTTGTGCGTCCATGGGACGTTGTCGAAGAATAAATATCAGACCAATGCTAGTTGGGATAGGCCAATCAATGTCGCTTAACAAATGTGCTCTACCAGAATGTGGGATTTAGGAAGACGGGTATTAGTCAGGCATGACGTGTGATCCATAAATGATCATATATCAAATGCAATAATGAGTAGGTACAGGTATTTAATTACAATATGTATGTACCCGTATTTCGTATGGCACGCTATTAAAAACTTTCGTTACGTCAAAGTTCAAAATTCAATAAAAATTGGGACACTCAAATAATTGTTTCTCATTATGTTTTCAAACAATTAAAAGTTTGACTAAAAAATGTACTATACTCTGAAGATTGCTGATCTAAATAATCCAGCTGAAAGTGTGTACGGTACCTATAAAAAATACTACCCATTGCTGTATCCAATTATCATATCAAAACCAACAATATCTAATTGATTGCAGCTTTTAACAAATATCGAAACGACTTGGAAAGCATTTAAAGTATTCCACTAAGCGGTTCGATCATATAATTTCCTTTATACGAGTTCGAGTATATGACCATTCCAGATTAATAACAATTTCTTGGCTGTGCCTGGCAGAGATTTCCTCTCAGTCAATGCCGCATATTTTCCCATCGTTCCAACTATGGAACTGGCTACAAAAAAAAAGGAAAAAGAAGAGAAAACCAAAGGAAAGAGGATAAAAAGCAGCCAGCAGCAATGTCGCATCAAAATGCCGCATTGATTAAAGTTTGATTAGCTTTGGACCGGGTAAGAGAGCGCATTTGGGCTTGAAGAATTAATTTGAGCCAAGTTTGTAATGCACGTACAGAAATGGCCAGCAGAGCAGTCTCAGAAGCAGTTGCAATAGAAGTAAATGTTGGAGAACAAAAAAGGAAAACGAGTATGAAGGCTACAGAGGAACCTAACAACTGTTAGGATACCTCCTACTTGGAAGCCTTTGTCTAGAACCTAGCGAAAGAAAAGGTTTTCGAAGGAGTTGATCCTGCTATTATAATAAATAGGTATCCATCGGTGATAGTTTTTGGTAGATCTGTAGCTAATAGGATTAGGAGAGGAATATCTATAAAATTCTGGCTTTTACTGGCTGTCTTTTACGATTAACCTGAGATAGAGTACAGGGGGACAACGGTCTTAAGCAATCTCGATCTTCGGAGCATTCGCATTGATCTAAAGGATTCGTATAATATTTGAACGTCTAACAGTTACAAGTGAAGGTCTCCTAATGATGAAAGGCAGACAATATTAAGACCGATAGATGGTTCCATCTGGGTTTCATATAAGATATCTACTTAAACCCCTCTTTGATGATGCGGAAAACATTGATTCGGTTTGCAAGGTTCAAATCGTACAAACATCATCGCTAGATCGTCGAAACTCGACAACTCTACTAAAAATATACTCTTGTACTCTCTGGAAAAAAGGGGTATCAAAATTAAATCACTGTAATTACATTTTCTGTGGAAAAGGCCCGGAGCTGGAGACGAACGCGCAAACATGTTGCCCGACGAGTGCGTGGCTGTGTTTGTGGGGACATTGGCGACGGCAATGACAAAAATAGTAGTCAACGTGCAACAGACGCAGCAGCAGAAACAGCAGCAGCAGCAACAACTGCATTTGGGCATGAAAAGTGCAGTGCCGGCAATTGGAAAAACTTGCCCTGGAAAGCGAGGCCTGTCTCTGTTTCTTGTTGTTATGAACAAATGTTATTGCAACAACAAACACAAATGTGCTATGCGGCAGGAACAGCAGT